CACACACACACACACACACACACACACACACATATATATATATATATATATATATTTCACTATCAAGATGCAAAGAAAGGAATTCTAACCACTATACAGAAACCTATTTATATATTTGTTATCGTTGTTAATTATATTGAATAGAGGGTAAAACATGGCAATATTAAAACTGAATAAATTACATAAGTATCAGGTGGACCATTGTATACTAATAACATAATGGTTATACAATTGTAATACGTAATTATTTATGAAAATTTTTTACTTCCCATTTAACCAAATGGTTAGTACTAAGTTAGGACAAAAGTTTCTCAATTTAATTGAGAAAGACTTCCCCAGAAATTTAGTAAAATTTTTAATAAAAATACACTTAAATTAAGACATAGTTGTACAGATGACCTTGTAATAATTATTAAAAACACGATAATAAAATTTGAAGTCAACACTAAGTAACAATAGCCATTCCTAAGCAACAAACAATAACGATAACAACTTCTGCACTTGTAAAAATCCTAATGACTATCCATTACAAAATAGATGTCAAACAGATTTCCTTGTTTTCCTAATTAATATTTCATCTAAGGAAATTCAACGGTTAAAAATATCAGCAGTACCAAAAATTCCTTTAAAACTAGGTGGTATCAACTCATATTATCTTTCAGCAACAATGTGTACCGTAACAGAACGTCCCTTTCTAAATATTTTTGGCACTTAAAAGAAGATAACAAAACTCCTACGGTAAAATGGAAAATATTAAAAAAAAACAAAAAACAAAACTAGAACTTGTAAATCCTTACATGATCCATGTTCCCTGTGTTGCATATTTTAAAATTTCCGAACATTAAAAATCTGTTAAATCAAAGAAATAAATTAACGATGTTATGCCGGCATGTTTACCTTAAAATATTTTAAAAAAATCATAAATAATTACGTATTACATTTGTATAGACATTATTTTATTAGTACATAATGGCCCACCCAACATTTATGTGATTTTTTCAACTTTAATATTGTCATATTTTACCGTCTATTTAGTATAATTAACAACATATATAGATGTTCCATATTTTTCATTTTACTTATTAGCCCCTTTAAGAAGCTTCCTGAGTATATTAACGATTTGCATAAAAAAATTAAAAAAAAAATGTTTCTGATAACCTTATGTCTACTTCAACAAATCGGCACACCATACTTGGCTACATCCATAATACATTTGTCGCTAGCATCAGTTTTTCTTGACATGTAAAAATAACCTACCCACCACCACCTTTTGATCTTATTTTTATATTTTAGCGTAGATTAATCAGTTAATCTAGATATACCCATAAGTATATTTTTAATTAGGACCTTAATGCATCGACTTATACTTCCGAACAGAGATAACAATTTGTTTTTAAATTTCCTTAATAAATCTTGTTTATCACAAATTATCTAGCATCGCCTGATGAAGTACAATCTTAGTACTGAAACATGAAAATTTTTGTGTAGCGATCTAAAATGTTTTTATTGTAATCTATTATAATAAAAATATTATAATAATTTTTGTTCTACTTTGTATTGAGCACTTTTTAACAAGCAAATGCAACGAACTGTGCATTTTTACTCCATCTTTCTCATTTATATATATATATATATATATATATATATATATATATATATATATATATATAAGTTCTGATCAAAAGTTTGCTATAGTAACTGAGCTAAAGTATGTGGAGCATGTACATTAATTTATAACGTTCTCACTCACTTCCGTTGTTTATAGCAAAGTTGGCAGGAATGTGTGTAGAGTGTGCCCGTCTCATTACACCCCAGAGGTTTCATAAGTGGTCAGGGCTCGTGCAGCAATTTTTGGCTAAGGACAGCATTCCTTATGTCTGACAGCCACCATATTCATCAGATTTCACTCCCTGCATCTTTTTCCTCTCCAAAAATCAAAATCCACATGAGAGGAACAAGATTTCATGACATCGAAGAAACCAAATCAAAACGAATTGAAAACGAAGGGCTATAAAATGTCTGGCTTCAGAAGGGGGTCTACTTCGAAGGAGACTAAATACCGAATTGATATGTATCGTAGTTTTCATTTTATAGCACCAGTCCTGATACTTTTTGATCAGGCCTCGTATATATATATATATATATATATATATATATATATATATATACAGGATGAAAGTATGTACATTTTATTTACTCCTCCTCTTCTATTAGATTTCATATTGTGCGTTTAAATATAGATAATAAAGCGGTAGGAAATCATTTGGCCTATATCGCCTGGCGATACCGAAAGGTTGAAACCAAGGTAGCGTGATTATTGATCTCTTAATTTATATATATATATATATATATATATATATATATATATATATATATATGAAGGGCGCGATGGATAAATTGTCTAAATTATGCAAAAATTAAAATTACACAAAAATATCATGAAATACTAAAGAGTAAATATATTCAATAAAATCGCCATTGGCTTCAACCACGACCACGAGACTTCGGAATCTCTTGCAACTCTTCCGGAGGGTCTCCATGTTTAAGTTGGTGAATGCAACGATAATCTTTGCCTTCAGTTCATCTTTGGTGTTGCAAGAAGTTTTGTTGGTCTCTCGCACAACTGCTCCCCACACATAATAATCCATGGAGGTGCTGTCTGAGGAGTTACGTAGCCAGATGTAATAGATTATGTAGTCGCAGAAATTGTCTGACACCCATGATTGAGGGAATTGCGTGATAGTGGTCTTTTTTCTGACAGACGTTGCCCAACTGACCCTACTGTACTGTACAGTCGACAAAATAAAAAACAACACACAAACACGCCATGCGCGAAATTAAAAATTAAAAATATAACCTGGTGACAATTTACCCATCGCACCCTGTATATATAAAATAGTGGCGAAATATAATTTTTACTTCTTATTTACATTTTGTATTTATGATTTTTTAAATGATTTTTTAATGATATTTTTTATTATTTTTAATGATATTTTTATGATTTTTTATGATATTTTTATGATTTTTAAAAATATTTTTATGATTTTTTATATTTTTATGATTTTTTGATATTTTTATGATTTTTTAATCATATTTTTATGATTTTTTATGATTTTTAATGATATTTTTATGATTCTTTAATCATATTTTTATTTTTTATATTTTTATGATTTTTTTAATGATGTTTTTATGATTTTTATGATATTGTTATCATTTTTAATGATATTTTTATGATTTTTTAATGATGTTTTTTATGATTTTTATGATATTGTTATCATTTTTAATGATATTTTTATGATTTTTTAATGATATTTTTATGATTTTTTATAATATTTTTATGATTTTTTAATGATATTTTTGTTTTTTATGATATTTTTATGATTTTTTATGATATTTTTATGATTTTTTTCACACCGAGCAATTTTGTGAACTGTTTTTTTCAAAACACAACGGTCTCAATCCGCCTCTTCCGACATTTGTAACATGTTTTAAATGAGATAAAATCAAACTCATATATACCAACACATTAGTATAGAGAACGGTTAAATCTAGATATTTTAACAGTAAGACCTAGCTGCCAATCTAGTACTGCGCTTAAATTCATAAAGTCTAGGTTTCAATGTGGAAAACTTACCGGAACAATTACTATGACATATTTATAGAAAAAGTCACAGGGAAAATATTTTACGGTGCTGAGAAAATGACTGAAGTTGAGATTGCTGGTCAAGACTAATGACATTGCAAATTCTTCTTTGGATTTTATGAAGAATCTCTCGATCAATAGCAGAAGCATTTGACAAAGATGTAGCAGCAATATTCTGTACAAAGACAAATGTCGGATTTCTAAATATCTAAGATGGATTCTGCCGAGAGAAATTGTCCAGCACGACACTGTGAAGTAAGTTTCCTCACAGTAGACCTAGCAATGTTTTTAATCAATTCACCCCAAGCAAGGCGACAATGGCACTAAGACGGAAGGGGCTACTGGGAGTGAAAGAGAATTAGAAATATTTAGAAAGAACCAGAAACCCAACCGAGGAAGAGTATGAACCGGACGATAGGCGAACTTATCTACTCATAGTAAATTTTGACTCAATATAACCGTTTCAATTTATGTCAGAGGATGCCGGAAGGAGTTGCTTTCCCGGAAGTTAACATCACAGCCTTGCTGATGGAAGGACACAAAAGATACTTGTATAATATTGAAGAAAAACTGTTTGATTTTGGAGACGTTAAAATTAGTAAACCATTCGTTGCTCCATTTAACAACAGATTGGTCATTTTACAGATAAGCTGTCAATTTACTGTGTGTGTTCGTTGATTGTTTTTGTTTAGCAGCATATCAACACCTCTATGGGTTATTTATTGCCAAAATCTAAATATCTTGTACACAATTCTATTTTATTTTTGAAAATATTATTAGTTTAGTGACACAAGGGTTACTAATTAACCCATAGCCGGAGAGAAGAAGAGGTGGATTCATGCCTTCTCCAAGGATATTTGCGCGTAAGTGAATACAAAGAACCCAACTGGAATTGAAACTCGGCTCTCCGATTAACAATCTTGAGTCATTAAACATTACACCACCCGCACATCCAAACAAACAACAATTGGTATTTCAAAACCGTCACACATCTTGTTACTGACCAATTTCGACGTTGCTTAACTTCGGTGATCGTACCTGAACTAGTGTTTTAATGTGATGTAGCCGTAAGCCACGTTTGTGTGTATATGTGTGTGTGTGTGAGAGAGATTGAGAGAGAGAGAGAGAGAGAGAGAGAGAGAGAGAGGAGGGGGTAGAAAAGGAAGAGGCGATAATAATAATTAGTGAGGAGTTGTTTTTAATATTCATTTTAATACAAAAACAACGTATTTATAAAATATGTCCATCAGTCTGAGAGGTGATGATATTGCAAATGACAAGGATTTCCAAATTTGGCGGAGATCCTTAAATTAGCCTTTTTCCGGCTGTAATTATAAATACAAATAAAAAAAATGATTTAGTAATCCAATGGTACGATCCGATGCCACCTTCCCACTCGCGTCCTTCTTGGGGAAAGCATTTCCTTCCAGTGTAATTCTCCGACTGGAGAAGCCGAAGGGCCAACAATGACGTGACCAAGGATGTTGCTCCGGGTGAAAACAGCACCTTTCACGATCAGAAACTCCAAGGAATGAGTTTCGACGTTACCACCAGTCATTGGAAACAATAAAACTCTGTTCCACTCGGGAGACACGCCTGCCATTGGCGGAGTCATTTTATGGCGAATGATTGACGTACCACTTCTCAAGTTAACAATCACAAAAAACACTGAAAAAAAAAAAAAATGAAAAAAAATTAGAAAATAAATAAAATAAAGAAGAAAAAAGCAACAAATAAATATCATCAGATGTAACTCCAGATATTATGTAAACGAAGCAGCAGTAGATGCAGAAACAGCAGCAGAAACAGAAGTAACAGTAGTCGCAGAATCAGCAGCAGCAGAATCAGTAGCAGTAGAAGAAGAAGCAATAAGAGCAACAACAGCAGTAGAAACATAATTAATATTAGCTACAGCATCAGATTCAGCAGTAGCAGAAGCAGTATCAGAAGCAGTAGTAGAAGCAGAAGCAGCAGAAACAGAAGTAACAGTAGTCGCAGAAGCAAAATCAGCATCAGCAGAACAAAATCAGTAGAAACAGAATTAGCAGTAGCTACAGCAACGTAATCAGCAGCAGTAGAAATAGAAGCAGAAACAGCAGAAGCAACAGCAGCAGCAGAAGCAGCAGAAAAGAATCAGATGCAGCAGCAGGCAGGCAATAAGAATATTCTCTTTAAGGTTCTCTGTTAAAGCGTTGAATTGTGGATTCTGTGGCGTAGTAATTATGTGTCAATCCTTGGGTCGGGTAGTATATACTTCGATTCAGTGGAAACAGGCCGAGCAATAACTGAGAAATACTAAGAACAGTGCGTGATATCAGTAAGCAAGGCCAACGAAACGAGAACAATTCAGCCGCCATTGTTAAAGAGTACACTTAGTAGTAGTTAGTAAATAATGATAACCCTTTATTCCAGTAATTCAGACAGAAAGTTTGTTCGACTTCAGTAAATCGCCATCATCATCAGTTCTATGACCGGGTGTGGTTTTAGGGCTGCTGCGCAGTTGAAAACCTGACCAGCTTTTGGTTGGATGCTAGAGTATGCGTGTGTGTGTGTATTTTTTTTTATGTAGAGTGTGTCTTTGGCAAATGGACCTGGCAATGTCCATTGCCCTCCATCTTAAAAGCACGCCGTTGATTTTATCGGGAGAACCTTCTAATCTGGCTATTGACAAAGAAGCTCTCCACCCACGGATGCTGTGTCATCACCGCACTGGCCACATCTATAACTATGGTGCCCAGTCTAAAAAAGGTAGCCATTTGACTCAACTAGAAGTTTCGTCCGCCCATTTACAGGGATTTAATCCTACTTGGTTTCAACCCATCATCCGCAACAGAAAGGTCTGGTGGGGACACCGGTTTAGTTTCTGACAACTGAACCATGTAACATATAACACTGGGATACACTGTACTTGTAGCACTTGTAGAATGATTGACTGATTTGTTCGTTTAACGGCAAATCAACTCCTTATAGTTTATTTAATGCTGAAATTTAAATTTCTGGGGAGATTTGAAGTAATAAAAATATGATATATGTTATTCTGCTTACACAGCTTTTCTCCATATACAGGTTTGTGTGAACATAATTACTAGAGGCGGTGATATGTATGTTTTATGTTGAAGTTATATTTTGGAATACAGTTTGATTTCTTTAAGAAATTGTAGAATATTATATGGATTAATGCCATGAAAGTCCTTTATGCTGTTTATCTGGTAGTATTTTAAACGGATTTGTGTGAAGTCTCTACAATTTGTTAGTATGTGCGTATTGCTGGTAATTTTACTATAAATTGGTATTGTTGGCATTTTTCTTATATGAGAATATATTGCCTTGAGCGCCTTTCAGGACTCAAATGTACCTCGAAGTCGAAGTGATATATACAATCCATTGAAAGAAATGCTTGAAAAAGAATGTTCGATTCCTTGTTGATTTAATTGGGCTTGTTTGTTTAACGCAATATCAACTCCTTATGGGTCATTTAATGTCTAAATTTAATTTTCTTGGGAGCTTTAAAGTAATAAAAATGTGATCTGTCTATACTTCTGAGATGAGGTATTATGTACATTATTTACATTATTCGGACTATTGTCCTCATCTTTGTCGCCATATTTATTACAACGTTTCGGCCGTTGTACGCTCCGGCTTTCTTCAGTGGTTGGAATGTCGAACAGGATAACTGATAACTGACATCCATTAATCATGGCACGTGGAACTAGAACAGTCTACCCCAGCGAGCGAAATGAAGGGTCCAGTTCGACATTCCAACCACATGAAGACGGCCGAAGCGTACAACGGCCGAAACGTTGAATAATGTAAATAACATAAAAATATGATATACGTTATTCTGCTTTCACAATTGAATACATGGTAGATGATACTCCGATTTTTTCCATATAAATGTTTGATATGTGTGTTTTATGCTGTAGTTTTGTTATATTTACTTATATTTTGGAATACAGTTGGAAATTGTAGGATATTATATTTATTAATATCATGAAAGACTTGTTTCATGTTGATGGATATATTTTTGGTTATTTTATTACAAATAGGTATTGTTTGTAATTCGTTTATACAAAAATGAATTTTTATACTTTTATAGGGTTTGTATTTTCTTTGGGGTTTGTGTAAGTCTGATCCACATCGCCAATATCTGGGACCCAAACAGGTGCTACCACTCCGGGTTAGGGTAGACCTGGAAGCATTTAAGAGGTGATTCCAATCTCCTCGAAACCTTTTATCACCCTAAAAGAAGCCTGATTGCCGGATGTAGTTTATCGTCATGATTAACTTTTTGAGTGACCTGATATAATAAATTTGTACTCAAAAATTAATAATTAGTTTATTTTTTAATAAAATTTTGAAGATAAGTTCAGGTTATAGACAAATAAAAGTTAAAAAGAGATTTGCGTTAAAAGAAAAAGGTAAAAGATGACAGAAAAGGTAAAAGAAAAAAGATGACAGAAAACGTAAAAGATAAAACGCAAAAGATGACTGAAAAGTTAAAAGGTAAAAAATGACGGAAAAGATATAAGGTAAAAGTTGACAGAGTAGGTACAAGATAAAAGGTAAAAGATGGCACAAAAAGGTAAAAGGTAAACAGTAAAAGATGATAGAAAAGTTAAAAGGTAAAAGATGACAGAAATCTTAAAAGATAAGGCGTAAACGATGATAGGAAAGGTAAAATGTAAAATATGACTAAAAAGGTAAAAGGTGAAATATGACAGAAAGGTATAAGGTAAAAGTAAATATGACAGAAAAGATTAAAGGCAAAAGATGACAGAAAAAGTAAAACATAAAAGATGAAAGAAAAAGTAAAATTAAAAAGATGACAGTAATCTTAAAAGATACTGCGGAAACGATGACAGAAAAGTTAAAAGGTAAAAGATGGCAGAATAGGTGGAATGCATAAGTTAAAAATGACAGAAAAGGTAAAAGGTAAAAGATGACAGAAAAGGTAAAAGGTAAAAGAAGAAAGAAAAGCTAAAAGGTAAAAGATGCCAGAAACGTTAAAAGGTAAAAGATGCAAGTAAAATGCAAAAGGTAAAAGATGACAGAAAAGGTAAAATGTAAAAGGTGACAGATAAGGTTAAAGGTAAAAAGTAAAGATGACAGAAAAGATTAAAGGTAAATGGTAAAAGCTGACCAAAAACTTAAAAAGTAAAAGATGACAGAAAAGGTACAAGTTAAAAGATAAAAGATGACAGAAAATGTAAATGGTAAAAGATGACAAAAAACGTAAAAGGTAAAAGATGAAAGTAAAGGTAAAAAAATAAAAGATGACAGAAAATTATCAAGTTAAAAGATAAAAGATGACAGAAAAGGAAAAAGGCAAAAGTTGACAGATAATGTAAAACGTAAAAGATGAAAGAAAAGGTAAAACGTAAAAGATGGCAAAAATGGTAAAAGTAAAAAGATGACAGAAAACGTAAACGATAAGACGTAAAAGATGACAGAAAAGATAATATGTGAAAGATGACAAAAATGTAAAAGGTAAAGATGATAGAAAAGTTAAAAGTAAAAGATGACAGGAAAGGTACAGAAAAAATAAAAGCTAAAAGTTGACTGAAAAGTTAAAAGGTAAAAGATGAGAGAAAAGGTAAAATGTAAAAGATGACAGAAAAGTACATTATTTACATTATTCAGACTATTGTTCTCATCTTTGTTGCTATATTTATTACAACGTTTCGGCCGTTGTACTATCCGGCCTTCTTCGGGTGGTTGGAATGTCGAACTTAACCCTTTATTTCTCACTGGGGTATACTGTTCTAGTTCCACGTGTCATGTTTAATGGATGTCAGTTATCAGTTATCTCTTGTTAATTTCCCTCTGAATGTTCTCCACTGCCTTAACCGGGTATTGAACACTCTTTGGGTCCTGTCACTGGATCTAACCAACGCCTTTATCCACTGTGCCATGTGTCCTTGAGGACATTCCAACCACCTGAAGAAGGCCGGAGCGTACAACGGCCGAAACGTTATAATAAATATGGCGACAAAGATGAGAACAATAGTCCGAATAATGTAAATAATGTACATAATTCCTCATCTCAGAAATACAGACAGATAATGACAGAAAAGGTACAAGGTAAATGGTAAAAGGTGAGAGAAAATATAAATGATGATAGAAAAGTTAAAAGGTAAAATATGGCAGAAAAGGTACAAGGTAAGAGGTAAAAGATGAAAATAAAGATAAAACGTAAAAGATGACAGAAGACGTAAAAGGTAAAAGATGATAGAAAAGTTAAAAATAAAGGAATACAAAAAGGTACAAGGTAAAATGTAAAATATGACAGAAAAGTTAAAAAGTAAAAGGTGACAGAAAAGGTACAAGGTAAAAGGTAAAAGATGACAGAAAATGTAAAAGGTCAAAGATGACTGAAAAAGTAAAAGATGAAAGAAATGGTAAAAGATAAGATGTAATAGATGATGTAAAACGTACATGGTAAAAGACGAAAAAGTATTGGTCAAAAGATGATAGAAAAGGTAAAAGATAAAAGATGACAGAAAAGGTAAAAGTCATTGGTAAAAGATGACAGAAAAAGGTAAAAGATGCCAGGAATGAGAGAAAAAATGGGAGGTGATATGAATTTCGTTCTTTTATCGAATTAATGAGAGTTTGGACAGAAAACAACAGCTGTTTACATCATTTATTTGAGATCGAATGAATCAATT